AAATAAAATAAAGGTATTGAGTCCAACTATAACTAAAGAATAAAATATTGAAAAAAAATAGATTAAAAATCATAATATACAGCTTATATATTATATAAATTAATATTATTACATTATCATATATGTTATATACTATACTTAGGTTGTATAGGCATTCCAAATTTAGGATGATGAGACAACATTTACTAAATATTTGTTGAAAATATGAATGAATCAAATTGAATTGAATCAAGATACTTCTGGCAAACAATATTTCTTGTTCTTACTTGTGAACAGAAGGGAAGTACAGAGGAAATGGTGTGGCCCAATTTGAAACCGTGATCCACTACAGGGATGGGATGTACGGGACTCAGAAATAGAGTAGTCACATTTATCAGGTCCTAGACTTAACAACTATGAAACTTGGAATGTGGGTTGGCTCAACCTACTCTGAGAACCATTGTGAAGGCAAATCCTTTGTAGCCCTGGGCATAGGTAGGATGGTCTACCTGGTCATCTATGATACCTGCAAGCAATGTGGTTGGTAGTTTTCTGTGGCTTAGATGCTCAAAATCATTTTGTGATTATGAATTTCTCAAGTCCGGGGCCATTAGTATATCTCCCAGGTAGCACTGTGATGGTTCACCCAGGAATTTGCAGTCGCAGCCATGGACCAAACATAGACCTTAGAGGAACTCATTTATTTTACTACAGATGCTAATGTGGCCAGGCGACTCCTCCCTTCAACCAAACACATCAGACAATCAATACAGCTGGGCTGTCTCAGCTTCAGGAATTCATGGTCTCTAGCTCCACAAATCCTGACAAGCCCTCTTATAACCACCCACAGGGGGCAGTGCTGCTCTAGGCTGTGACCAAGTATGGAGCTAGTATGGTTTCTGATTCTTCCTTCCTGACTGAACCATGGAGTCTGTTGGTGCTCTCTGCCCTGGACACGCTCTTCTACATTCAGCACAGGTGTTCCAGGAAACTAGTCTGGTTTCCACTAATCTCAGCCCTTTAGATTTCACAGCACACTTAACCTCCTTCCCCTAGCAGAGGATGGCATGACCAAGTACAAATGGAATTTCTATGCAAAGTGTTAAAATCAATTTCAGACTTTATTTGTAAACTGTTTTCTTGTGTTTGTGTTAATATGATGTGAAATTATAATCTACCACATCCAAAACTATAGGAAAGAGTCAGTAGGGAAATTTATGTATTTTTAGTGGAAGTGTGGGTATGTGTTTATATAAAACAAGTGTTTTTTTACAAACAACTATTTATATAGCAGTCTTGTTATTTATGGAACTCAGATAAAAGCCAGATGATGGATTTCTACAAAGGTTTTACACTTGTTATATGAAACTGATTTATACTAGGGTAGGCTAGTATGCATCTAATGGCAATTAATATATATTTTATTCAATATACATTTTACATATGTAATATAGGAAACTAGTGTATATCTAATGCATTATCATCTACATTGTGGGTAATTTAAAAAAAAAATGTTTGGCTAGCCCTTCTACCATCGTTTTGAATTCTGGTGACTTGGCCAGGGGTGGTAGTGATGGGTAGTGCTGTAAAGAGAGAGAGAGAGAAATCACTGGTGATAAAGAATGACCAGGAAAGTGGTGATTTCTGTTTGAAATATCAAACAATCAGGGGGAGCAGGGGGCGTAACTCAGTGGTGGAGCACTTGATTGGCATGTACACAGTCCTGGGTTAGATCCCAGCACTGCAAAACAAACAGGGAGAAAAGTGGGGGAAACTGGTTAATAATGCATCATTAGTATTTGGAAGACATGTCCAGGCATTTATTTGGGCTGGGTTTTAAAGATTACAGATGTATGATTGTCTTTTTTCCCCCAGCATGTGATGGGGACCAAACCCAGGGCCTCACACATTCTAGGCAAGTAGACTACTGCTGAGCTCCATCCCCGACCCTTTCTATTTTTTTTAATTGAATACTGTATTCATTTTTCTTTTATTAGTGCATTATAGTTACTCATAATAGTTGGATGCATTTTGACAAAATTGTACATGCATGGAGTTTGATGTACTCCATTTCAGTCTTCGGTGCCCTGGCCTTTCCCGCCTCTCCTGTTCCCTATGGTCCTTCATCTACTCTACTCATCTTCCTCTCACACGTTTATGTATTTGGTTTTGATTGGTGCTTTCTAGATGTACCTAAAGGTGGAATTCACTGTGGTATATTTAAGAGTGCATGTAGCATGATTTTGTTAAATTCATTCTGATTTTCCTCCCTTTTCCCATCTTTCCTCCCTCCCACTTGACCTCCTTCTATTCCACTGATTTTCCTTTATCTTTATGTTATTCTACCCTCCACATTCCTTTTGTCCCCTCATTTTGTTCTAGCTTCCACATATGAGAGAAAAGACTTTCTGGATCTGGCTTACTTAACTCCAATTTAATCCATTTACTGGCAAATACCATAGTTACATTCTTCTTTAAAGCCAAGTAAAACTCCATTGTGTATCTATATCACATTTTCTTGGTCCATTCATTTATTGACAGGCATCAACTAGCTCTTTCTATTTTTTGAGGCAGGATCCCACATTGGCCTTGAGCTTACAATCTTCCTGACTCAGCCTTTTGAGTTACTGGTATTACTGACTGTGATTTGTTTTGATTGAGGTAATAGTTGAGACCATGCGAATAGATCATAGCCAAACAAAACATAAAGAGAAATATACATGCTTTGGAACTTAATACCTTAATACCTAACTGCACTAGGTATTACTTAATTTGTTCCTGAAATAGCATTGCTTATAACTGTTTTCAAAGTGCAAAAACCAAAAGAGGTTATCACTGCATAATATTCATGCTCAAGTCCACTGACACACCATAGAGATGTTTTGGTGGACACTGAAATCCAAACTTGGAGAATTATGCCAATTTCAACTTTCTTTGGATCTCAAACTTCCTTATGCATTGGTTTCACCTTAAGTTTATGACTGGCTTGAGTTTTTGTTTGTTTCTTTCTTTTTGTGTGTGTGTGATTTTAGCTCATTAATCTCTGGCTTTGCCTGAGTTGGATTTGTTACACTAATTTACCTGATGTGGATATAGAAATCGAATGGGATTCTGCCTTTGTACCTAGTTCATGATTTCCTTCTGAAGGTGAAACATCCATAGTCCTTGCCTACCTCCACCTGAGAACATTTTACCAGTTGTCACCCACTGATGAACTAAGCTAGTACAACATAGATCTAGGTCACCACTGATTAAAAATGTTTCAATTTATAAATATAGTGTTAAGCTGCATTTCTCTCCTTTGAAATATGTGTTTCAGTGTTTAGAACAGCGCCTGGCACCTATCAGGTGCTCAATAAATATAGGTTGAACAAATGAATTGGGGTCTTGGGTCCAGAGATAAAAGTTTACTTATTGAGGTTGTTTCTATCCCCTCTCAGTTACAGTATGAAACTAAATGTACTGAGTATAGAGATGGAAAAGTCCATTTCATGGCATTTGGTCTCTAAAATAAGCTCTTGAAATATACAAATAAGATGTTCTGGGCTGGGGCTATAGCTCAGTGGTAGAGTGCTTGCCTTGCACAGGTGAGTCACTGGGTTTGATCCTCAACACCACATAAAAATAAATAAATAAAATAAAGGTATTGTGTCCATCTACACCTAAGTGCTAGGCAAGTGTTCTACCACCAAGCTGCATTGCTACCTCCTAAGAAAATATTTTTGAAAACCTAGAAATTTAGTTTTCAGACCTCATTTTTCCAAAAGCTAATAGCATCTGGAATTCCAAATGTCTCTGAATTTAAAAATGGAATAAATAATAAATAGGAGATAGAGAATAGTCAGAGTTGTTTGTCCTCCACCTTCAGCTTGATTGCTTCCCACTCCAAACTGAGGGAGAAGGTGTGTCTTTGAGGGAGCCCTTGAAGGGTGCTTTCTCCTGTCTTCCCCATAACTTGCTTCTGAGAGGATTATAATGATAATGTTCTGGGCTTGGGAATCTTGAGAGTAGAAAGGACTCACATCAATTACAGGGGAAGTTCAAGGATGTGGCAAACTGATTACAGAAGATTTCCCACCCAGCAATATGCGAGTGTCAAAGAATACTGCCATTATGGAATCTGAGCAGAGAGGGTCCAAGGTCACTGCCTGTGTCTTCCTTGACTCCAACATGGCACCAGGGCACACCCTATTGTCAGGAAAAGGCATCAAACTGGTGCAGGGAAGAAGGTCCACCAACCTGTATGGAATGAAAAGAGCACAGGTTGTGCTTCATGAACTGGCAGTCTGTAAATGACAGACCAGATGATTGATGAGTAAGTCTCAGCAGATGATAGCAGGGGCACAGGGCAGAATCATGACACCAAGTGACGGATGATACTCTCTTAATGTCTCAATGGATGACAGCAGACACCTGAGGTTGTAAACAGACCTGAACCTTCCCACAGCTGTGTACTCTATGATTTCCCCCTAACCTCTGCAACACTATGCCCTGAACCATAAAAGTGAGAGAAATGAGAAAATGGAAAATTTAGAGAAAATGAGATGGAAAAATCCTTTATTAACTATGTTAACCTGGATCCAATGATAAACTACTGACTTTTTTGGCACTGACTTCGTTAAATATTCAACAACAGGAAAAAAAAAATGCTAGCTGACTATATAGAGATATGGAAAGGTAAATTACAATTACAAACTCTTGAGTTTAGGGCCCTCTCATAATAGGTCTCTGTTATATGTCTGTTTAGGAATAAGTCAACATACATAATTCATCACTAGAAGATTCATAACTAAATAATAAAGTAGAAAAACTGCTTATTAAATCTTATAAAGTTACAGCTTAAATGAGATACTTGTAAATATCTCTTGCACCTGCAAATACTGATAACTTGTTTTCTAAATATGTTCATACAGAAGGACTAGAGAAGATGAGAAGGAGGGTGTAATCTGAAAGAGAAACCAGCACAATAACATAAGTTGTATTTAAGTATCAGGCAGAATTGTTTTGCAACAAGAGTGGATTTATTTTCATGGAAATTAAAGGTAGAGAGTAGGAAGGAGCTTTCTTTAGTCACGTAAGATCCATTCATTGTTATTTTCACTGATGCCTGAAATTGAACTGGGTTATCTAGAACACTTGAGGATCCCTCTGTTGGAAATAAGGCAAATCATAATAAAATGATGGATGCGAAATAAAAAGTGGCTGTTTGTGTGCTCCATTCAGCAGGTCCACCTGAAAGATTAGGTTAGATTTACATATTATCATTCAACTAATCCACTAGGAGGAAACAGAAACATTCCTCCTTAATTTTCTAACTCTAACATTTTATCTCTGGGCATATTAAAGAAGGAAGCCCCTTTGTGGCTTATAGGAAAACAGAGTTTAAAAGTACAAGGAAACCCAAATTTATTTACCTGACATGTTATGATAAAATTCTTTATTTCATCTTACCCTTATGATACCCAGTAGGTTTCCTAGATAATAAGCATTTCTCCCTCTTGTCTTGGCTGTACCCCACATTTACATGTTAGTTTACTTTGAAAAATATTTTTGTATTCTTAACATACTATATTCCTTTTATAGAAAATTTGAAAAAAAATATATAATCCTGATACCCAGACATAATCAACACTAATATTTTATTACATATTCCTTAAAGCTTTTCTCTAGGTATCTATACATTTGTTTTACATAGTTGATATCACAGTACATAAATCAGTTTATTTGTGTTTAAAAATATACTATATGCATCTTCCCCTGGTAAAAGAAAAACTAAAAAGGAACAGTTTTATTGGTTATCTAATTTTCTGTCTCTTTTGTATCACGATGCACTCAATCATGAGTATTTTTTGAACATTGTGTTTGTTTCTCTACTTTGAATTATAGATACAAAATATGGCCGGGGACAGTGACACACATGTAGTCCCAGCTACTTGGAAGGCTGAGGCAGGAGGATCAATTACGCTCAGGCATTGGAGAACAGCCTGGGCAACATAGCAAGGCTCCAGCTCTCAAAGTAATAACAACAACATGATCATAATGATGAATATACGTAAGCTTCCATTTGGAGCCACACTCCAGTTACCTTCCTTCACTCCCACCTGCACCTCATGCCGCACACGTGGGATAAATTGCTAGAAGTTGAATGATGGGTCAAAGGCTCTGAACGTTGCTATGGAGTGAATTGTGTTGCCTTCCTCCACCAAAATCATATATTGGAGATTTAACCCTCAATGTGACTTGTATCTGGAGATGGGATCATTAGGCGATTAGGTTAAAAGGGTGGGGCCTGAATCTAATGAGACTGTAGACTTACCAAATGAGAAATAACATTTCTCCCTCTCCTCCCCAGCAATGCCCAGTGAAGATACAGCAAGAAGGCACCCACCTACAAGACAGGAAGAAATCCCTCATTGGGAATCAAATCCTCTGGCACTCCGATCTTGGGCTCCCAGCCTCCAGAACTTCGAGAAATAAGTTTCTGTTTAAGCACCCCCACCCCAATCCAGTCTATGATATTTTGTTATGAAAGCCTAAGCAGGCTTATATAAACATGTCAAAAGTTTGACACCTATTTACATATCACTTTCAAGAAAGTTTTTAAGAAAGGTGTTTTCAATATAAACTACTCCAACGATACATATGGAGCCCTCTGGCCTTGGACCCTCACCAATTTTCTCTCTCTCTCTCTCTCTCTCTCTCTCTCTCTCTCTCTCTCTCTCCTCTCTCTCTATACACACACATGTGCACACACACTCAAACATATATTCTTTCTGTGGTACTAGGGATTGAACTCAGGAGTACTCTACCACTGAGTTATATCCCCAGCCCTTTCTATTCTTTTGTTTTGTGATGGAATCTCCCTAAGTTGTGAAGACTAGGCTGGAAAGGGGGATCCTCCTACCTCAACCTCTCAAGTAACTGGGCTTACAGGTGTGCACCACTGCTAAAATTTGTTTCATCAAAATATTCAGCTTTTGTAGCATCACTCCCTGAATATACCACTGTATCTTGATGCTCCCAGTCAGGACTCCCAAAGCAAAATAAATAAAAAGCAAACCCAAACAGGTTTTTTTAAAAAAACACTTTCAAACATTTTATCATCTTTATTTTTACATTTATGAAAATGAAAATGTAAGAATTAAAAACTTGAGATAGTCCCAAAACCTTCAGATAGTCCTGTAAAAACAGAATCAATAATCAAATGATAATAATCAATTGACATGGGCTCCCTCCAATTATTTTAAGGTGCTAGATAAATGGACCCAGAGCCCTGGTATGCTAAGCAGGTGCCCTACCGCTGAGGTGTATCCCCAGTCCATGTGTTCCCTCCAATTTAAAGCACTTGCTTATTTTGGTCAGAATGATGTTCATTAGAAAAAAGTAATCTAGAAAAATTGCCACAGAAACAGAAAATACGCTCTCCCGTAGTAACTTCATTGTGATTTTTAATAAGACTCTTGCTAACAAACACTCTTTTTCTTAATAAGCACCCTAAATTGATGTTTCATGCACAATAGTTTGTTATCCTTTAGTTTCCAATAGAAATATGTGGCTGTTAAGATAGATTGGAATTAAGAACTGGATTCCACTTCCCCACCGAGTTTTGTACCAAATACTAAGAGCACAGTACAATTACTGTACTCTCCACAAAATGCAGATGTTTATAGCATTAATTCTTTTACTGTGAGATAGTAACAGAGATTTGCCAATCAATGCCATTGACAATTATCGTGAGGACAAATTCACAATGGAGTGATTTTGGATCTGACTCACTTTTCCATTCTTACTTCATTCTGGACTCACCTGTTGTTCCATTCAGTATTACTTTACAGCACATCACGCACTGTTTTGCTAACTTTGCCCTGAGTTGGCACCAAGTGTGCGGAGATGAAAATATCTTTCTTGTCAGTCTGTCTTGCCTCATAACATTCTCAAGCTGTTTTCCCCGTTCTGGCATTTCAAAGGCCATTCTCTCTTACTAGGTCCTCTGAAAGCTGATTGACTTTCTGTAGAAGAGGGGCCTGCAGAGTTGATAACAGAACAAAAAAAGGAGGAAATTAAATTCACCTGTACTGACCAAATGGCAAAAGAGGGCAATCCAATGTCAAACAAAAGACATTTCAAAAGTCGGTCTTAACAGACTTTTGTTTTATGGAAAATCCAGGCAGAAATGTCCTTAGACCACAATGTTTTTCTTATGGTCTTTGAGTTTGCATCTTAATGTTATTTTTATGGCCTCTATGCTGGTTTTCATCTACCATAAATAGAAAGAAAGAAAAAAAAAACCAACAAACCACTGAGTTGAGGAATTGGAATGATAATTTAGGCAGTGATGAGCGGGTAGGGTATGGAATAAAAATGCCAGTTCTTCATATGGAAAAATGTTATATTTCAGAAAAAAATACCTCTATGGCTCTAAAAAAATTCTTGACTTTTTTTTTGCTCAGTTTAGAAGTGTAAGTATACAATTCTAATTTCTTTAATATCTCAGTTTATACCTAAAAAGAGAAGGTGTGATCAAATGTGCATAATTTATTTACAACGAAATTAGTTTCAAATTGAATTCTTCCTTGGTGTCCAATGTAGTCTGAAACATGCCAAGTCTTATAGGAAATGATATTTCCTTATATTAGCATTTAATAAAGCTGAATGCACACTGGGAAATAAAGTTTGCATACTTTTGATGGATAATTTTAGAAAAGGCTTGTGTATAATTCAAAGAACATGTTGATTCCTTCAGAAGTTCAGGTAGATGGTGTTCTTCCTCTTTCTGTTGACCAAAATGTATCCCCTCTGATTGATAGCAACAGAGGATACCCTAGGCAAACTATGCCAATTCCATATCACTACACATTACCCAGGACACAGAGAACTGAATATACTGGTATCTCCCTGTCAAGAGAACAGAGGTTGTCTCCAAATAAAGGTCCAAGGAGTTCCCAGAGAGAAGGGAGAATTTGATTCAGGATCAGTGGGGTTCTTGGCATATGTGACAGAAAAGAATTTCAGCACTTGCCAGTCAGGCATAGACAGAGGTTTATTTAGGAAAATAAATACAAAGTCAAGGAAGAATAGGGACAATCTCAGGAGAGGGTCTGCTTTGGAGGTAAAGCAAGGAGTACTCATTCGAGGGAGAATGCAGGTTACTTCAAGACTGAGAGACGTGGATTTGGGATTCTCAGTTCTTCCTTTAAAGGAAACTTGGTGAGGGGTGATTATGGAAAGATAGGTAGGAATGATATCAGTGCAGTGATCTCAAGACTGTTTCTGGTGTTCTGGTCAGTCTCAGACTCCTGACTGGTCTTCATTATCCTATCAATAGATAGTGCTGGAAGTTTCCCTAAATTATAGGTTCCCCAAGATATCATATCTCTCTGTGTTTAATCTATTTATTTGGGGGTTAATTATCAGTGCACAGGTAGATTTGCAGATTTCCCAGGAATTCAGTTATAGGGCTGGAAGAGAGGCTGACTTGGGGAGTGACAGGCTTGGAAAAGTATGCGGAACTTCTGAATCAAATATTTTCCCCCTAGTTCTTCCTTTGTGTCTCCTTCTTAACTATTTTTTTATTCCTTTGGTCCTACCTCATCCCCCACCCCCAAGAGGGAACTTTCTCTAATAATATACAACTGTGATATTAAAACAGTAAACTCCGCTTTATCAAGACTGGCCAGAACAATATGTATGTTGACAAGCCTTTGACAAATTAAAGGTTAGTAGGCCCTGATCCAAAGGACAAATAATAATAATATTGGGTGATTAGTTTGTGCTAGGCTCTATCTAAGCCTGTCACTTGAATTACCTCATTTAATTCTTATAACAGTCCTATAAAATAGTTACTATTATCATCATCATTTTACAGATAAAGAAACTGAGAGAGAGAGAGAGAGAGAGAGAGAGAGAGAGATGTAGTCCTCAGGATTACATCACACTATGTGTTGGGACTATTAATCAAATCTGTATCTTGAAAGACATTTTATTATTTCTGACCCTGCATAAAGTTTGCTGGGCTCACACAGGAAGTGCATTACAGCATCATATTTTTTTATAATAGCTCGATTCATTTTGACAAAATCATACATGCTTGGAATCTGACCCTCTTCATTTTAGTCTCTGTTCTCTTCCCTTCCACAATTCCTTCTACTCTAATGGTCCTCCCCTTGCTCATCCATTTACCCATCCTTGGTTGGTGCTTTCCACACACACATGAAGGTGAAATTCTGTGTGCTGTATTATTTATGCACCTAATGCTATTTTGTCAAATTCATTCTCCATTTCTTCCCCTTTTCAATCCCTTCTTCCTCCCTCTGGATCTTCTACTCCTCTGATAGTCCCTGTATCTTTATGATATCCAATCAGCCCTCCTCATCCACCTTCTTTCCCTTGTTTCTCTCTAGCTTCTGTATTTGAGAGAAACATTTGACCCTTCCTTTTCTAAGTCTGGCTTATTTCACTTAGCCTGATGTTCTTCATTTACACCTATTTACTGGCAGATGCCATAATTTCATTCTTCTTTGTGGCTGAGTAAAACTCCATTTTGTGTGTGTGTGTATGTGTGTGTGTGTGTATCACAGTTTCTTAATTCATCTGGTCATGGACATCCAGGCTGATTGCATAACTTGGCTCTTGTGAATTGTACTGCTATACACAGTGAAGTGGGTGTATCATTATAGTATTCTGATTTTAGTTCTTTTAGATAAATATCAAGGAGTACAAAACCTAGGTCATATGAAGGTTCCATTCCTAGTTGGTTTTTTTTTTTTTTTTTTTTTTGAGGAATCTCCATTCTGCTTTCCAGAGTGGTTGTACTAATTTGCAGTTCCATCAACAATGTATGAGTTTACCATTTTCCCCACATACTTGCCAGCATTTATTATTGTTTGTGTTCTTGATAATTGCCATTCTGGTTAGAGTGAGATGAAATCTTAGTAGAGTTTTGATTTACATTTCCCTGATTGCTAGAGATGTTGAATGTTTTTCATATATTTGTTGGCCACTGTATTTCTTCTTTTGAGAGACTTCTCTTTAGTTCTTTTGTCCATTTATGGATTAGGTTATTTGTTTGGGGGATGTTAAGTTTTTTTGAGTTCTTTATATATTTTGGGTATTAATCCCCTGTCAGAGGAGCAGCTGGCAAAGATTTTCTTCCATCCTATTGATTCTCCATGAACTCCTCCCTAACAACATCCATGATTTTAATTGTCTCCTTTGCTATGCAGAAGCTTTTAAGTTTGATGGCCATCTCACTTATTGATTCTTGGCTTTATTTCTTGAGCTTTAGGGGTCTTGTTAAGGAAGCTGATCCTATACCAATATGATGGAGTATTGACCCTATGTTTTCTTTTTACAATTGCAAAGTTTGGGGTCTAATTCTTCAGTCTTCGATCCATTTTTATTTGATGTTTGTGCAAGGCAAGAGATAGGGAACTGGTTTCATTCATCTACTAATAGACATCCAGTTTTCCCAGCATATTTGTTTAAAAGGCTATCTTTTCTCCAATGTGCATTTTTGGAACCTTTGTCAAGTATCACATGGCTGTAAGTACGTGGATTTGTCTCTGTGTCTTCTATTCTATTCCACTGGTCTTTGTACCTGTTTGGGGTGTCAATGTCATGCTGTTTTTGTTACTCTAGCTCTGCAGTATAATTTGAGATTAGGCATTGTGATGTCTCCAGCATCACTCTTCTTGCTCAGGATTACTTTGGTTACTGTGAGTCTTTTATTTTCCCAAAATGAGTTTTAGAATTTTTTTTTCTAGTCCTATAAAGAATGTCATGGTTTTGGATGGGAATCTTCATGTTGCTTTTGGTAGTGTGGCCATTTAGATAATATTAATTCTGCTTATCCAAAAACATGGGAGGTCTTTTCATCTTCTAAGGACTATACAAGAGGTATTCTTCTGGTACAGGTGCTGGGATGTTTCTATGTTCATCATATTATTGAGATGTCATGACATTTTATAAACTAACTGATGCAAATCATTTTTAGCATTCCCTGTAAAGCAGCAATAAGATATCAGTTTGATATTCTGCAACCAGCTTATGATTTCATCAAGCTTGATTTTGTAATTGAGAAGCCTGGTGAGTGGTCCCAGTTTTTCTAATGTTGCTGTTAATGGAGGGTCTTGAGCCTCTCCATGACTTTGAAAGGTTTTACAACTTTGCAAGTTGTAAAAAAGTTGTGGTAAGGCAGTGAGTCTTGTCTCTAGAATATAACTGATCATTACCCTGTGAACATTGGCCAATTTTGCATTTATTAGTAAATTTACATCAGCATGCCTGGTGTGTGTGTGTGTGTGTGTGTGTGTGTGTGTGTGTGTGTTATTTAAAGTTTTTTAAAAAGTATTTGTAAAATTATTATTGTTGGGGTCCAGGTCCTTGGTGTCCCCAACAAAGAATTGAGCAAGGCACATAGAAGTCCAAGCAAAGCACATATTTATCAAAGGTGAAGGTGAAAGTAGAACCTTGTAAGGTAGAGTGGAGTGGTGGAAAAGGTGGCCTCAAGGCCATGATGTTTAAGAATTCTTATCTTACATGCTGAGCTGTGAAGCAGTCTTTTTCCTATGTGGACCTGATTGAAGACCTTACCCCATTTGCTCCCGTTGGTTACCTTATGATACCTTATTAGGGCACTATCCAGTTTTCCCCACTGGTTACTTTAGAATCCCTAATTAGAACACTGTCCACTTTACCCCCATTGGTTATTTTAGAATACTGAACCCGTGGGGGGAGTTGTCATGGTAACAGGACTTACTGTAAACAGAAAACAGGGACATGATACACCTCCCTGTCTTGTCCTTCTAGCACCATTTTTCATGCACTCTGCCTCGGCCATTTTGGTATCCCTGAACTCCTCCCTAACAATATCCTAATGATTCCCCCACTACTCAAAGAACTAAACAAAAATTTTCACATATTCAATGTCTATTTGTATATAACTCACAATTTTACAAGTTTAGAAAAACATTTTCCTCTAGCACTTCCTGGATTCCTTCCTTCCATTGGAGCATCTATTATGTGGATTGACAAACAACTGCTGTCCAAGGGTTGGATCCAGCCCAGATCCTTTTGTAAAACCCACTGGCTAAAATTGGTGTTTGCATTTTTCGTGGTGAAGAAAAAAATGTTGTTTTGTGGCACATGAAAACTATTCAAAATTCATATTTCAGTGTCCAGGAATAAGATTTGATTGGAATGCAGCATGTACTGTCTGTGGATGAATTCGATAGTAGAGTTGAGTGGTTGCTCTAGCGGTCAGGTCTAATCTTCACACGTTTTGCCTTTTCTCTTTCATTTACACATTTTAATTCTTTCCTAAATCCCCCATCCCAGACTTCCACTGACTCAAAGCATTCTGAAGTCAGCTTGGTCCCAGGAGAACCCTTCAGTACCTGCTTAGATCTGGAGATGTTGTGGGGCCGCTATCAACAGCTTCTCTCTGGTATCCCTCCTTCTTGTCTTCTCCCCTGAAGAACGACTTTTTGGGCTATTTTCTGCTTCCAAACCCTTGTTGTCTACTCTTCTTAGCTTCCCTCTAATCTAGCTCAGCAGAATTGCCAAGAAAAAAAAAAGAAATATTCAAGTGTCATTATATATTGAATTCCAACAATCTTAAAAATGAGGAAACTTGTTTTCTCTCTTGTTATTTAAGTTTCTTGATTTTTCCTTTTGGCCTGCAAAGCCTTAAATACAGTATCACTAACCTTTTACAGAAAAGGTTTTTCTATCTCCATTCTGTAAATGAAAGTAATATTCTGCATTCTGGGCAAAATAGCAATTATCAAGAAAGAAGTAGTTCCTGCCATTATGGAACTATATTCTCATAGAAGAGATTGAAAATAAGCAAATTAATAATTATATGTGTTGGAGACTGTCAGAAAAGGAGATCAAATGGGGTAGCATTGGCTCAGGGCACTTTAAACAGAGTCAGGAGGCCAAATTTTTTGGATCAGGTTCTACACACATTGTCACATCGGCAGCCCGGTTGTGCCAGGCCAGTGGGCTAGGTTGCAGAGAGACCAAAGAAAATACCTGGAGATAACAGATGAGGCATAAGGCTTTATTAAGAAATGCTTGTGAGGAAGGCCCGGTAGTAACAGACTGAGGGAGAGAAGTGCCTCCATCCCTCACTGTGCTTTGCCAAGTAGTGCCTCTTCTCCCTCCTGGTATTTTGTCCAGTGGTGACTAGCTGGACAAGTAAGTGATACATGTCCTTTCCACAGAGCCTCAGTTCCACCCCTGTCACCACTGAGAGAGGAATTTTACATATTAGGCTGCAGAAGCAGTGACAGCATCATTAGCTTGCTTAATTTGCTTGTCTGACCAGCACTCCAAGGAGCAACCGTCCTAGCACAAAGCAACTTTCCAAAGATAACATTAGCTTGCCATAGTTCCCCGTGTGCATGAGGAAAAGTCAGTGTCCTTCAAGATAATATGTATCTGAACATCCTGGCCCAGGCTTGCTCTCAGTGTTCCCTTAATTTGGCTAGGTTTCTGGAAAGAGAAAGGGGGCATTCCAGGACATGGTATGTTACAGTCCCTCTTTTCTTTACCCATGTCCACCTGTAAGCTGAACTTTTAAACAGGGCTACAGACATGTCCACTGCAAGCTGACTTTCTTCTAAAACATTGTTGGCTAGCCTGTGCTGATCTACTATACAATGGGCCCCTTCCACTAAACTACCCAGAGACTGAGACTGCACCCCATTCTTTCTTATAGGACCATTTAACGTGTCCTTGACAAATAGAGGATTTAACTACCAACTCTCTTGTGCTTTTATTTTTGAATAAAATCACCATTTTCTCTGAGCCTTGGAGCACAATTCAAGGTACTTACATCAGTGTCTCCCAGGTTGCAATCCTAACTGTTCCCAAATAAATGATTTTCTTTCTTCTCTCGACCATGCTGATTTTATTCTTGGTTGACAAGACTACTATTGTCCTTAGAAAATAACCACAGTATTTAGGGGACAAAAGAGTATGATATATGCAACTTACTCCCAAATGGCTCAGAAAATAAAAACTCTGTGTGAGTGAGTGTGTGTGGGTGTGGGTATGTATCTACAAAGTTGTCAGGGTAAGAGATGTTACCCATGAATTCTGTTCCAAGCTAAAGTATGAATCATATGTGAAGGCAAAGGAACGAATTTTAAATAATGAGTGCTTAGAAAGCACATCACTTTTCCACTATTGTTAAACAGTTTGAATACAAAGGCAAAACTCAATACTCCAAATATCTATGCAGAAAAATTTATAAATAAATCCAATTATTTTTCATTGATAACATTAACAGATAAGATAAACAACTAGTTAGCTGAACTATAATTCAAGAAATAAATGGATGTAGCTAGAAATCTACTGAAATTTAAAATAATTATCTGACAATATATTGTACAAGTCTATGGTAGTGCATTAGTTAATTTAGATAAAATGGACAATTGGTGGGGAATATAAATATCCAGAATTTTTAAGACAAACAGCAATAGAGTTAAAAAAATAAATTTTTTTCAATTACAAATCCCTGAGTGGTAATGTAACTCAGTGTCAGAATACTTGCCCAGCATGTGTGAGGGCCTGGGTTCAGTACCCAGTACCCGCCGACCCCGCCCACTCTGCCGCCACAAATTTTAAAATAAAAAATAAATTACAGTTCTATCAAGTGCCAGGTTTAGATACCTTGAAAGGTTGATTTCTCCTAAATATTAAATAAAAAGAACATGACCACTGTTATTAAAGATCTGAGTTCTCTCTTCTCTCTGGAGATATTGCTGGGAAGAGCTACACAGCTAAGAACAATATGTCCTTGAGGTCTAGGAACAGCCACATAGCCATTGCTTACAAAAAGCCTGTAAGCTAGTAGTTAAAAAAAATCCTGTCCTTGTCTTTGTGCTTTTTAAACATCTGTCTCCCAATTAGGCAATAAACACTCAGGACATTCCTCTGAACTGTCTGAGTAAGAAATAAATATTAGTTGTGTTTGAATTGTTGCACATTTTGGGGTCAATACATCTACTTGTATTTAACACATCCATTAGCTTTTTCTAAATAACAGGCTGCATCACATGTATCAGAACATAGAGAATTAAAATGTTTCTTTATATTTTCCCCCTCTCAGTTTGTTTTCTTTTTCTTTCTTTTTTTTTAATATTTATTTTTTAGTTGCAGTTAGACACAATACCTTTATTTATTTATTTTATGTGGTGCTGAGGATCCAACCCAGGGCGCGCACATGCTAGGCGAGTGCTCTACCGCTGAGCCACAACCCCAGCTCAGCCACAAACCCAGCCCTCAGTTTGTAAAATAATAACTAAGTTATTTTAATAACAATATCAAACAACATAAAAATAAATTTGAAAAATAAAAATTCTTTGAAGAAAATAAAAATCTACACGCCAAAAAAACTGATAATGCGGGTAGTCCCACTTAGAACACTAACCATCTGACTAGTAGACTGTTTTTATAGAAAATGACATAAAAATATGGCAAAAAAATACTGCAGTGACTTCAAAGTGTTCAGCTATCTAGGAAACAAATGTGCACAGATATGATTTTCTTTCTTTTTTTTAAATTAAAATTTCAAATTTAACAGCAGCTCTTGGGCATCAGCCCTCAGACTGTGCTGGGAATGGAGAGAAAGTAAAAGGATCAGACATGGTCTTATGGCCCAATTATAAAGGCTACTATCCTGTATTCACTAGTCCTTCCCTCCACACACACACAACATCTTGGATGTTGAGTACCACCGTTTCCTCTTTGCATCAAATGCATTCAATAGTCCTCTGTCATGACAGGGCTCTTTTTATATTAATGTCCTAATTTGCCAGTTTATCCTCATTAGGTTTATTCTCCAAGAAAATGTGCTCATGTCATACCCCTTTCCTTCAAAATTAGGGTCATGAAAAATACTGCTATAAAGTAACCCACGACCCTTTCTACTAAGGACTAATAATATAATATTTATCATAGTGGTTCTCAAATCCGGCCAAAATCAGAAATCATGTGGAAGCCCTTTAAAATCTGTAGATTTCCAGATTCCATAACCTAGAGATTCTTTTTTACTCTTCTCAGATAGGTTCTGACAGTCACTAGCAATACATATACAAATGAGAACTGCTTGCACAATCCTGATGTCCAGCCAGATGTAGGATCTGCTGATGCCACACTGTTTTATAGTTGGCTACACACACACATATCTCCCTATCATTTGAGTTTCTTTTTTTTTTTAATTTTTTAATATTTATTTTTTAGTTTTCGGCAGACACAACTTCTTTGTTTGTATGTGGTGCTGAGAATCGAACCCGGGCTGCACGCATGCCAGGCAAGCGCGCTACCGCTTGAGCCACATCCCCAGCCCTCATTTGAGTTTCTTGAGGGCAGGGATACTGTTTCAATTTTAAAACCTCTAGTAAATTGCCCTGTACATATCACAATAGAAGCTGAATGACCATTTGTGGAGTTCAATTAAAATTTCTTTTTTCTGAAATTTCTTGCTTGTTATATCATTAAAACTTTTTTTCTATTTAAGTAACAAAAATATTACCTTGTGATTTTGGCATAGTTATGAATATTATAAATATGAATATTTGAATTGGTGGCATATAAAGTAACTTTTCCCCAGATATATATAAAATTATTAAAATTAGGTACAAAGGCACCAAATTGAAATGCACATATATAAAAGAAAGCATAGCTGATTTTTAAAGCTCTGAGAATTGGTGGTAATTTTTTAAGCTTTGAAAATTTGGATCAAGAAAGGCAAAGATCTCCACATCATGTGCAAGTTATACATGGGAAGTTATACTCCACGTATGTATAATATGTCAAAATACATTCTACTGTCATGTGTAACTAAAAAAGAACAAACAAAAAATTAAAAAGAAAAAGACAAATACATGCTTCTAATATTTCTCCTCATTTCCAGTGACTTTGACAGACATTACTGGTAGGTGAAATACTGTTGTTTTAATAGTTGGGTGTGACTTTAGAAACCTTTCTAACCCAGTATTGCATACAGCAAATAACAAACTTATGTGAGGAAGCAACTAAAAAATAATCAGTTGTACAACCCTGAAATAAAGGAAAAGGTATTCTTCAAGTCTGACTTATTTTTAAAATATTACTTCTTAAAATTTTTAATCCTTGTTTGTCCTTTGGTCCTTTCTTCGCTTCTTCTTTTACACATTTACAAGTCTTATATCTCTACCTTTTTTGTGGTATGTTAGCAAGAAATATGCTTGGTTTCCCCAACATTTTAATCAGTTTCTTCATTTCTCCTTATACCTTGTTTCTTTCCCCCGTCACCCAATACCCCTGCTTTTTATTTTTTGTTACCAGGGAATGAATGGAAACTTTACAACTGAGTTACATCCCCAGTCCTTTTTTTATTCCTTATTTTGAGACAAGGTCTTCCAAAGTTGTTCAAGCTGACCTTGAACCTGGGATCCTCCTTCCTTAGAATCCCTAGTAGCTGGAATTACTGGCATTGCCATCACACCCAGCTCAATTCCTCTCTTTCTCTAAAGTATATCTGTCTGTAGTTCTATCAGCCTAAATCTGTGAATGGTTAACTCTATTGGTTTTTGTCTGAAAATGTCTTCTATTCATTCTCACTTTGAATGACGATTTAGCTGAGAATAGAATTTTCAGAGAGCCTTTAAAATTTTATTTCAATCTTTATTTTTCCTGGCAAGATTTCTCTTGTCTTATTTTTGTTTTCTCATGGGTATTCCTTATTTTTCAGCTGTAGCATTTTCCTTGTTTTTGGTGCTCTTTAGTTTTAAATACAAGTATCTAGATATTGACTTCTTTATTAAAAAGTTTATCCTGTTAGGGATATATTGTATTTTTCCATTGGTCATGTCTTTATTTTGGAGGAATTCTCTGTCATTTTCTCTTTGAAGAGTGCCTCTCCTCCCTTATTTATTCTGTTTCAGTGGGATTGCCTATTAAATATGTGTTGGATCTTCTTATTAAACCCTTAGGGAAATAAGATAACTTCACTTTTCTACTCTCCATTTTTAAATCATCTTTGCTATACTATGGGTGATTTCCTCAGATATGTTTTCCAGTTTGGCAATTATCTCTTCCGTTGTATCTATTCCATCTGTCTAAATCATCTGTTGAGCTTTTATTTTATTTTCTATTGAAAATAATTTTATTTTCATATCATTATTATTTTATTTATAAATAATATTCTAGAAAATAAAATTCTAATGTGAAAATCAAATGATAGTAGAAAATTTTTGTGTCTTACTCATCCTTTTATCTCTAGTGCCTAGAACAGTTTTAGAACTTTGTAGATGTTTAATAAATATTTGTGAAGACTACTGATGAATCAACACTCTTTTTAAAATGTTTCTATATTTTTCACCTTATCTTGTCCTTTAATTTTTATTCCTTTTTTTGCTTTTAATCATTTTATGAATTTTTTTTGGTAGTCATTTTCAGATTGTTTTATTAACTCAAGTTATTAAAAGATAGATTTGGGGAGCACAGATTTTTCTGTTTTTTTTTTTTTTTTTTTTTGTGTGTGTGTGTGTGTGTCTGCTTACTCTGCCTTATGATGAATTGTTTCCTTATATGGTCTGCAAATTTTATTTCTTTAATGAAAGTGATTTACTCTGTGGCATTCATTTGTGTCCTGAGTTGTACAAATATTCTCATGGAGGATTTTTTATACTGCTTCTGCAGGGGCCTGGCAGTTTCTCTGTTTTTAATCTTGGGATTCTATTATTGAATGATAGTATAAAATTGGACTTCTACTGGTTGAAGCTTTCAATTTTCATGCAACCATCACTCCATCTCCACTTGACCTAGACTATTGGGTTAGAAGATCAGCTTCTCAGCAATTTCCTGAGGCTTCAAAAAGTTAAGGCCTCTGTAGGGTCCTACTTCATGCAGGAATGTTAGTGACAGCTCCTCAGAAGTGCCTTTAGGATGACATCTTTTGCTCCTAAGTGGGGATAAAATCTCAGCTTCTGTCACCTACTAGTGTGACTTTGAATTTGTTTCTTCTTCATTTATGGTATCTGAAGTCTTTGCTTTCTCTATTTCAAGCTCAGCTTTGTATTTTAAAATACTTGTACTATGTCCACTATAGATACATACTGGAAGAAGCAGGAGTTGCAAGCCATGATTGACATCTTCTGCAGAAAGATAATTTGGTTTCACATGTGTAGCTAATTGAATTTCATCCAAATTATACAAGAGAATATCACTAAGAATCATCATCTCATTTTTTGCTTCTTAAGAGTTTGGGGCAGTAGCCTTATGGGTATTACAATTAAAATCAGTTCAATAAATATTACTGTGTTTAATATTTCAGGATATATGGGTGACTAAAATAGTCTCTGCCCACAAGAGGCAAACATTACATAGTACAAATATTGAACAAGGTTCATAAATAATAAGGTAGAAAGTCTTTAAGTGCTATAGTGATATATATATATATATATATATATATATATATATATATATATATATAGTTTTTAAGAATAATGCATGTTACATTTATTATTCAACAAATTATTAAGGTTATTAAAAGAATGAAAGACTTTTATAGTGGTTGTAAAGTCAGTGAAAACTTGGGGGTAGAATTGCTAGTTGAAATGTGCCTTGAGGAATGATTGAATAGAAGCAGGAGGATCCCAGGTTCAAAGCCAGCCTCGGCAGCTTAGTGAGGCCCTAAGCAACTTAGTGAGACCCTGTCTCAAAATAAAAAAAATAAAAAAGGGCTGGGGATGTGGCTCAGTGGTTAAATGCCCCTAGGTTCAATCCCCAGTTAAAAAAAAAAGAAAGAAAGAAAGATTGGGATTTCCGAAGTAACAAGGGAGGGGATGGTGCTGGAGGGGAAGGAGAAAGGGGCATCATGCTTAGATAAGGAGCTGGGAAGGCAGAAGCCCTCCAAGAAAGAACCAGCAGTTCCATTCCCATTTTTCTAGGATTTTAGAAAGATGGTGATATTGAAAATTAAAATAAATAAAAAATTAAGCATGGGTGGGAGCGGGGTGGTACAAGTGGGCAGGAATTTAAAGGTAATTTGATTTTAAAGTTCTTGCTGTCATATTTATCAAAAGAAAAAGAATGGTGTTAATTTTTAAGGATAAACTTGAGGACTAGGATCACTTACAAGTTTAGATTGGGCAGTTTTTTTTCGTAATCTCCTGATCTTCTGATTGTCAAGTGAGTTTCCAGAAAGGTAAACCTAATCAGCATTTGTGTCTCCCAGGTATACAAGTACCATCTAGTGGCAAAAGAAGGTAACCACAGGAATGAAGTCTACAGAAAACATTTGTGTGTTTATTTTTCACTTCTTATTTATATTATGGTTAACTAATTAAGGAGGTCTATATTCTAACTGGAAAGGAATTAAAGTGGTCTAAAGCAACAATATTGACTGATTAGTGTATTAATAAAACATGAGATCTGATAATAAATGGGGTATGGGTAAGGGGCTTATTAATTATAAAGTATTTGAGAGTTTCAAATCAGGAACTAACATCAAATTATATTTCAGTAATGAATCTTGAAGCAGGATCTACTTGAGGTTAAGAGACAGAGAACTGAGAAAAGGCAGTGTACATAAGGATGAGGCCGAAACACTGAAGTCACGAGTATTCTTCCAGAATGTTCTCTCCTCTTTTGCCTAACTCCTGCTTAGCCTTCAGATCTTATGAGTTCCTCTGCCTGACCCTCCCCTCTTAGAGTGGCATTAGATGAGCCACTCATGTCTTCCTACAAATCATATCCTGTGATGCTAGTGACCACATTTCATTGTCACTGCTTGTCTATCTTACAGCCCTCACGACAGTCTACACTGACTTAACAGCTGAGTTGGTGCCACATTTGCGTCATCCACTATTCCATCTCAAATGCTTAGGATGGTATCTGACATATGATACGGACTTCACTGATATTTATAGAATGAATGGACAGATTAATGAAGAGAGTAACTATAAAGGAAATGTACAAGGTACAGATATTGAAAGTATCAGCAATGCTTCAGTGAAAAAAAAAAAGATATTTCCAGGAGTTTATTGGTAGAAAAATGTTTTTCTTCATTGTATATTGACTTCCTGAATGATTGTCGTGATGGGCAAAATTGTGACATCTGCAGTCAAGGGGAGAGAGAGAAAGAATGTTCAGGCACTAATGCCCTTTTCAATGCTTTATTCACTCAAAACCACTCAATTCAATTTCACTCTATAGGTTCTTAATCAAGAGATGACAATCCTTAATGCTGGGCACTGCAACAGACATAATCTTTTCAAAGCAAACAATTCTAAGTTAACTCTAAGCACTGCAAACATTCTTAATCATGACAGACTTAGTACAGACATTCTCTCTGCATGCTAAGCTTAAGTGGTAGATTTAAAGTCTTAAGTCTTAGGTCTTAAGTCCAGCAGATGCACACTCACTCAGACAGCAGCGTCCAGCTCAGGAACTGATAGAGGCTTCAGATTCTGGTAGGGAGCTGATGACTGGCTGAGAAGACAGTTGTAAAGAGAAGTTACCGTTCTCAACAGGGTCAAGAGGCTGCTGTAGAGTTTGAGGGTGGTGAGGATGATGCCGAGGACCAGGCAGATGATGAGAAGAGTAGGGATGTCAATCCAGGTCCTCATCAGGCATGTGTGCATCAGTATAGGCTGGCTGAATGTCTGTTCATTTGTTCCATCATTTATACTAAATTTTGGGGCTTCTGCTCACCCTTTTAGCCCCTATCAGCTGTTACCAGGTTTCTTAGTGGCATCTCACATCTTAGAGTCAGGGCCTGTGGTCTGGTGATTTCTGCCCTGGTATTACCCTTCTGACTCTTATTAGGGTTAAGGCAAATGACATTTTTATATCAAGTGACTTCACTCTGACTTTTATCAGTGTTGTAGAAAGTGACTTCTTTTATCAGGCTATGACTTATGACATATTGGTTGGCTCTGTGGACTTGTGCCTGAAGAGACCGCAGGTTTATTTTAAAATGGAGTTGCTTGGGGCTGGGATTGTGGCTCAGTGGTAGAGTGCTCGCCTAGCATGTGCAAGGCCCTGGGTTTGATACTCAGCACCACATAAAATAATAAAATACATAAAATAAAGTTTAATAAAAAAATAAAATGGAGTTACTTAGGCTAAGGCCATCCTTACAATGATGTCCATTGATTAGTGACCTCTAATGCTTTTTAATTAGTTTTCAGAGTATTAACTTGTCTCTACCTCAGGGGTGGAAAAATAAAAATAGTATATCACTGACATGTCATTAAAGAGATTAAATAAAGACTACAAATAAAACATACTGAGCAGTGTGTAGCGCATATTCTTTCCTGAATAACTGGATTTTATATTTCACGCACGTCATCTCTTTAATTATTTGAAGCATCCCAGTCAGAGAGGGCAGATATTTTACAAGGCTGTTTTTTACAAATTAGAAAACTAACAATTGACGAAACTGGAGGACATGTAAAATTGGAGACACATCAGTTACTAAGTTTCAAAACCCACAATATTTAAATAATAGTTCGTTGTTCTTTCTATGGTATTGTGTTGCTTACCTAGGGAAAGAGACGAAAATAAATGATATTTGGATGGTAAAAAAAAAATCATAGCGCTACAATACAGAGAATGCAATTAAATAAAGAAGTGTATTCGTTTTCTATTGCTGTCCTGATGAATTTCCACAATTTTAGTGATTTAAAACAGCATTACCTTACAGTTTTGAAAGTCAGAAGTCTAACACATGGGTTTCTCCAAGGGCATCAGCAGGCTCTGTTCTTTACTGGAGGCTATGGGAGAGGGGCTGTTTCTTTTCCAACTTCTAGAGGCCTCCGTTTTCCCTGCTCATCTTGATTACCAACAGTGGTGGGTTGAGCTCTTACTCTGAAACATTCTGGCCTCCTCTTCTTTGGGGATAACCTTAAAAAACAGGATTACTTGAAGTTCAGGTTGTGGCAGTTTCTTCTCAATGTCCTGATCTGCTGATTAAGGTTAGTTTGATTAGTTTCTAAGAAGGTGAGCTGAATTAGCATCTTTTCCACTTTCCTCTTCCACTTTTAGGGACCCTTATGTTTATACTGGGTCCACCAGAAAAATTGTGGCTAATCTCCCTATTTTTTTTTTTAAACTTATCGATGGACCTTTATTGTATTTACATGCAGGGCTGAGGCTCAAACCCAGTGCCTCACACATGCTAGGCAAGAACTCCACCACTGAACTACAGCCCTCGCATCCTCATCTCCTTGTTTTAAGGTCAGCCAATAGCCACCTCATTCCTGCTCTAAAGTTAATTCCTTCCCCCCCCCCGCCCCCATAAGACAACATCTTCTCATTTTTTTAAAAGTAAGTGATTCTTGTCTTTTTCAGTTTTCACAGTTTCTCAGCAGCAGATCTTAGGTTAACTGTAAATAACTGTGGGGGTTCCTGGGACTAGGATATGGACATTTTGGTTGATCATTTTTCTGCTTATTCTAGGGACATGTGAGCTTTCGGAGAATAGTGGTAAGGAATGAGAAGAAAGAGGCAAGGTGAGGATAGGATTTTCAAATGGAAGTCAGAGGTATAATTGCCTGCTGCCAGTGATGCATTATTAATGCCATTCATCTTGGCAGAAACCAAAACGTTTTTGATATGGATAAACTAGAATTTATCCTATTTTGGCATTTTTAGTTTGTCTGGTTCCTAGTGACCACCAGACTAATTATGTATGCTATGATTTTAATTTTCTGTTCTAAAGTTTTCAGTGTCTATATATTAATCATTTTTTAAAAGCAAGTGATCCATGGTCTTTTTCAGTTTTTGCATTTTCTCAGAACTTACCAGCAATGGTTCTTAGGTTACCTGTAGATAGCTGTGCGGTGTAATTTGTGCCTGGAAACAAGAACTTATTTGAAACAGATATGTGTTCTCTTACTACCTCCTTGTCTAACTCGAGTTTCAGTTCTCTTTCTGTGTTGTTTCACCTTTACTAATTTAAAGTCCATTTCCTTTCCCAGAGTAGGAAAGAAAACAGAAATTGACTCATGTCTTTCCTTATCCTTTAACTTATGCTCTCAGTTAACTGTTAACTTTGTGTTGATAAAAACCTATGCCAAACAACAACAACAACAAAAAACCCAACCCAATCAATAAATGGGCTAAGGAACTGAATAGACACTGCACAGAAGAAGAAATACAATTGATCAACAAGTATATGAAAAAGTGTTCAACATCTCTAGTATTTAGGGAAATGCAAATCAAAACTACACTAAGATTTCATCTCACTCTAGTCAGAATGACCATTATCAAAAATAAAAGCAACAATAAGTGTTGGTGAGGGTGTGGGGAAAAAGGCACACTGATACATTGCTGATGGAAATTGGTGCAACTATTAAGGAAAGCAGTATGGAGATTCCTCAGAAAACTTGGAATGGAACCACCACTTGACCCAGCCATCCTACTCCTCAGTCCATACTCAAAGGACTTAAAATCATAATGCCTCAGTGACTGATACAGCCACATCAAAATTTTAGCAGCTCAACTCACAAGAGCTAAACCATGGAACCAACGTAGGTGCCCTTCAACAGATAAATAGATAAAGAAAATGTGGTGTATATACACAGTGGAATATTACTCAGCCTTAAAGAAGAATGGAATTATGGCATTTTCAGGTAAGTGGATGGAACTGGAGAATATCATGCTAAGCTTAATAAGCCAGTCCCCCAAAACCAAAGGCTCTGATATGCAAATGCTAATTTACAATGCGGGGGAAGGAGTAGGGAAGAATAGAGATACTTTGGATTAGACAGAGGGGAGTGAAGGGAGGGGACAGAGTATGGAGCAGGAAAGATAGTAGAATGAATTGGACATTTTTACCCTATGTGCATATACAATTACACGACTGGTGTAGTTCTATATCATGTACAATTAGAAGAATGAGAAGTTATACTTTAAAAAAAATCATGCAAGTTTACTTCTCTCTGCCTTCTTATACAGTGTCACTCTAATTAAACCCATCTCCTCATCTTTTCCTCTTGAAGTTACTAGGTAAATTTTGCTTTCACTATTTCTCTATAGCATTTCATAATTTGTACCATATAATTTAAGAGTCAAACAAATATCAATTTAACATTTAATATTTAAAACTCAACCACCCAGCTGGGTGTAGTGGTGCACACCTGTAATCCCAAGTGTCCCTAGGTTCAATCCTCAGTACCAAAAACAACAACAACAACAACAAAAATCCTCAGTACCAAAATCAACAACAACAAAAAACTTCCTTTGTTCGATGCTTTGTTTGTTTTTGGGATGGAGTCTTACTTTGTTGTTCAGGTTTGTCTTAAAATCATGGACTTAAGAAATCTTCCTGTCTCAGCCTCCTGGGTGCTAGGACTACTGGTGTGTGTTACCATGCCCTGCATGATGCTTTTAGGTACTATTACTAGGTATCTCAGAATAATTATTGATTTCTTTTCCTTTTTTTTTTTTTTTTTTTTTGGTTTACCTGGAAAGTCAGTGTTCTTACTTAGCAAGAATCTTGTTGGGTGGTTGAGTTTTTTGTTTTTTTTTTTTTTTTGGTACTGAGGATTGAACCTAGGAACACTTAATCACTGAACCACATCCTCAGCCCCTTTTTATTTTTTATTGAGGCTGGGTTTGAACTTTTGATCTTCCTGAGCCCCTGGGATTACAGGTGTGCACCAGTACATCCAGCTGGGTGGTTGAGTTTTAAATATTAAATGTTAAATATAGCTTTACATTCTTCAAATATCAGTCTCCTTGACTAATTTCTCTGTTTAGAGAAACACAGGGATAATATAGTTTAAATTCTTTTTGCTGCAAAATAAACAATGGTAATAATAATATTAGTAATAGCAATGACAATTAAACTAAAGTTACCATCAGAAGTTATTCCCTTCTCCACCCTTTACCCAACATTAAACATTCCCTAAGCTATTTAATTACAATTTCAGCCACATTTGCTTTTGTGGTAGTTTGGAATTCTAGTGTTAAAGGTGCTCGATTCCCTTTTACTTTCAGCCAAGTCTGTAGTTCTTTATTTATGCTGCCTCTTCCTAGACCAAGGTACCAATTTGAAATTCTTTGAAATTATACCTACTTTAAGCCCTGAATTTAGAGACCACATGACTTTTCTTGGCACCTTTCTTTGCATATAGAAATGGTAAGTGTTTAAAAACAAGTAATAATAGTGTTTAATCAGACCATATTTAAAAGTGGAGCATATAATTTTCAGTATATTTTAGTCATGGGAAATAATGTACTAAGAACATGAGAAAAAGTTATTGTAATGATTTTAGCAATTTTGCTTTTAATTTTGGCAATAATGGCCTAGCAAATCCATTTGGTATTTAGCAAGGAAAAAAAAAAAAGTGAAACCTATTGTTTACCAGTGGGAGTTTGGTTTGCAGTTTTATGTTTTAGGTAACAATCTTTATTCTCTTTATCCACATTAAATACTGTCAAAATTCCATTTCACTATTAATTTTGTACCGTGAGGCAACTTGTTAAATCTCAAGCTATAACTCCTATGATCTGTGTATCCCCGTGTGATTTATTTGCTTAAAACATCTACTAATGAGATGTGGGGATTTGGGTTGCCACCATGACAACCAAGCAGGATGGCATCTATTTCCTAGATACAGAAAACCAGAAAGAAACATCTTCTCTCCAGCTGCTTATTTAATACTAAAACTCGGTAGCTATGGAAATTTAGATTGAGATTATGTGGCTAACTTGTTTACAAGATATCAGCCATCTGACAGGTACCTTTTCAAAGAGACACTACAATATATCATCGCCCATGCATTATTTGGTAGAATTTTTTAATTAAA